GTGTGTGTGTGTGTGTGTGTGTGTGTGTGTGTGTGTGTGTGTGTGTGTGTGTGTGTGTGTGTGTGTGTGTGTGTGTGTGTGTGTGTGTACGTGTGGCACTAAGAAACAGAAGTGGTAGAAATTCATCTCCACTCTCTCTTTCTCTGTCCGTCCCTCCCTCCCACTCCTCCCACAGAAAACTGCCAATAACAGGGTCTCTGTGCTGCCTGCACAATGGGTCGTTCTGTAGCCCAGGCAAGTACACACGTGCACACGTACGTACACACACAAACATACACACACAGACAAGAAGGAAACACTAGGTGGGGGTTCACCGTTCAAGACTGGTCACACACACTCTAAAACAAGTGCGCACCTAATAATATATATGCTTGTGTTTGTGTGTGTTTGTTTGAGATTAAAAGATCAGGGTGCTATAGAAATTGTTTTTAAGGCATCATATCCCCTTTTTATTTTGCCATGTTCAATTTTCTCTCTTTTACAATGATCAGTGCAGCCAATGTCAGGTTAGAATCCTCAGTTTTGACAAACACTGTATGTAAAAATGGACAATGTGTCTCTACTTCCTACCATTGTAAAAAGTTAAGATAAAATATCCTGGACACGGGGGCAACTCTTTCACGCTTTTATGTGATTTGGAGTCAGAGTCTGTGCATTTGTAATAATTGGGTGAGGCTGCAGTAACAAAGTCCCACCAATACAGGTGCCAGACCAATAATAAGTGAGTCTCAGCTATCAATCATGATGTTTCACCCTGTACAGAATCAAATAACAAATTAAAATAAGATGGTGAGATGTAAGCTGACATGTAATCCATCTTTAAATGCAGTCTATAGGTGACTTCTCAGATAATGCAAAAACAATTAAAAGGATGTGTCTCACAAACTTTCACTGGTATTTGTAAAACACTTCATTAACTGGTTAGGTTTTGAATAACTCTTCATTACTTTCAAGACAGGTCAAGAATTGTCATTTGAACTTGTCAGCTGTCATTTCCGGACATTTCAAACCCTCAGCAGTCATTGGCTTACTCTAAGCAACAGGCAGGGGATATGAAAATGAAACTGATGCTTTTAAAGAAAGGGGAAAAAAATCATCAGAGCTCTTTCAGCTTTCAAGAAGAAATAAAGGCAAACATAACAAGAAATACATTGCACACAATGGCAAGTACATGAAAATAGCATCAGCCCTGTGTGTCTCTATACATGTCCTCTCTGTGTACCTTACATTTGGGGATCACATAGGAGCGTGCAGCATCGACGTGCTGGGACTGTAATCAACCCTACTGACCTGAACCCTGAAATCACGTCTGAACCCACAAACCGTCATTTGAGGTTGTGAGGACCAACCAAAATGCCCCCACTTTCCAAAATGTCCTCACTCCATAAAGCCTGAAACTGGTCCTCACACCGATTGAAGTACCAGTGCACACACACACAGAGGTCGTGAGGTCATGACTCATACCCACCCCCCAACACACTGCTGCTTTCAGTCCACTCTCAATTTTAGGACTGAGTAGTGACTCAGTCCTGCCAGTAATGAAACACATTCACACAATGTGAACAAGCCAATGTGTGTCCACACAAACACAAACTCACTCAAACGTGCACGCCTCTGACTCTCTGGGGCTCAACATTTCTCAGAAGGATGTTTCCCAAAGCAATACGCCATAAACTACCACATTTACAGAGAGTCAATTGCTTCTTGTTATCATCGATAAGTCATGAAGTTCTGGGGCTCCTGATATTTTGTCTTTCAGTGTATCAACAAATGTTCGAGCCAACTCTCACCTCAGATACTGAAACTATAAAACAAGATTACAAATAATCCTAAAAACTGTCAGTGAATAACACAGCACTACACAGCGTTTTCTCTGCGAGGATGTATGATCTTAAAGCAGAATTTAGAACCTCTGCTTAACAAGTCTTAATCTTAGTCACAGCCTCCTGTTACTCACTTCTTGCACAACCTTCATCCTGCTCCATATGTCCTCTCTCCCACCTCATTACAGAGTGATTCAGTGGCAAGTAATCATGTGAGTGTGTGAGACAATAGAGAGGGAGACAAAGAAAGGGAGACAGACAGAAGAGATGGAAGGAGGATAAAGAAAGAGACAGACAAAGCCGTGAGCTCACTGAGCTGTAGCTTGAAAAGTGCAATGTGCATCCTCTGTAAAAGTAAAAAAGTAAAATCCATTGAAATTAAGATTATGAACGTCAATAGGGTAAACTAAGCATATATTAACTTTTATACAGACACAAAAAGGAAAGGTACTTCACTAATTCTGTGCTGTACAGATTTCCATGAAACTATGTGGAAGGATGGGACATGGGCCAAGAGAGAGCTCATAAAACTTTGGGGTGGTTCTGGAAAAAGATCCAGGAATATTTAATTACTCTCTTTATCGTTGCAAGATTGTTTTTTTACATTTTCACTCATTTCCTTGAAAATATTGGATCATGGTGATAAAAGCAGGCAGAAATCCGTGTGTGCAATTGGGTGCGGCTTGATTGAATTTAATGGGATTGTTGGACCTTGACAGAGGTATGCGCTCTACTGACTGCCATTCTCATGTTTTATGTGAATGGCAAAGCTTTTTAAAAAGGCACATGCATTGTTTGATCATTGCTCTAAATGCATTTCTATTTGTTTATATCATGATAACCTTTGTAAGTCACATGCCTTGCTTAAATTCTCTAATACAGCAGTGATAAAACTATTTTTGTTTTAGTAACCATGCTGCACAGTTGTATGTTTTGACTAGCTAAAGTCATATTGGCTGCTGAAGCCCCATGGTTTTGTCAGTAGTCGGGGTTTTTTTTAGAATATAAGACAAGTTGGTAAATGTGGCTTTGCTCAAAGCTATAGAGGTAACAGTAACAAGGTAGGTACTTAAATGGGCACATTACTGAATCAGGAGTTCTGCATGAATGTGGCCCCTTTACGGCCCCAAGTTTATAAATCTAGATGATCCTACATCAGATTCTGGTCTATGTTAAGGCTTTTTAAGCCCCAGGCAAAGAGTCTTCCTCCGTACACCACAAAGAATACATGAGTATTACAAAAGAATAATTGCACATGTAGAAGGAAAAAATACAACAGTTTCCACTGATAGCGATCTTTATAATTTCACAGTTTCACTACTGATCACACGTATCTATAAATGTACTCAGTACATATGACGTGTGGGTGAGGTCGTGTAAGGCTGAAGGAGAACTAAAGTAAAGAAGCCTCCATCAGACCTGGAATTCCACCTGTTACCACCTGCTGACCAGGCGATGTTGTGGGGGAACAGCTGGATGACCCCATGGTTACTCACACGACTTGATTCAATGGTCAGATCAGATCCAGATCCAGACCCAGACCCAGATCCAGATCCATCCGTGCGAAACAGCTTCAAAACGAATGAATTCCACTGGGGATAAACAACAGCCCCGGAGAGAGGGAGAGAAAACCCCTCCGGCAAGTTCACACTCACCGAGGAAATACTTCGTCCTCTTGAGTGGACTTTAAAAAGCAGAAGTGGATTGGGCAGGTTAAAGTGTGTTCTCGTTCTTGTTTTCCTGTTCTTGTTGGGTAAGCTAACTACCGTTATTCCGTCCAGCTCACGGCCGAGTTAACACAGATGTAACCAGGACAACGCAATCTCTGTGTGAGGCACTTGGGTGTTTAAACGCTCTCTGCCACAGTTCTACAGGGGAAACAAAGTTTCAAAGACTTGCGGTTCACGTACCTTCCTGTTCTCCGCGGTGTACGAATGTCCGATCACTGAAACGCGCTGTTGGTTTAGTTTGTGGGCGGAATTTAAAGGCGACAACTGAGGCGCCGAGGACTGGAGAGTATTTTTCTCACGGCTGAAAACCAGCACTTCAAGTGTGGAGGTAGAGACAATGAGAGGTGACACTTCCGGTGTGGCCTTTCAAAGTAAAGTACACACACGGGCATTGAATGGTGTTGTTGTTTTATTTTGTAGCATTTCTCCGGATCTACTCTGTTGACCCGATGCGGTAAATTTGCAAAAGCTTCCGTGCGGCCGTCATGTGACCCCTGGAAAAGACTGCACTGTTTTCATGTAAATGCCCTTTAAGTACGTGTTATCCCACTGACTGATCCCTCTGACTCACTCACAGCTCATGTCAAGTGTTTTCAATGAGATGTGCCTGTTGCAACTTTTAAGTCCATCCAACTTTTTAAAGAAAGTGGTTTGTAAATATGTAACATACTTGAAATGTTGATACTGTTGATGCATCGTTTCACTGCAAATAAACTCCTTTAAAGAGAACAACATCATGAAGGACTTCCAGTCTTAGTTTAAGAGCCCATCACAGCACTTGAAACTGCACTAAAGTAATCATGTAAGTGAAAACAAAGTTTCCAGTTCCTCAGTTCCTGAGTGCTGCTTTTGACTATTGACCATGACAAATCTTTCCACCATAGAAACATAGAAAAGGTTTTGCCATTTATAAATCAGACAGATGCTGTAAAGCTGATTCATGCCTTCATTTCTAGCTGACTGGATGACTGCAATGCACTTTGTAGAGGCCTCCCAAAGAAAACAATAGAGAGAACCAAGAGGAGAGAACACAGCACTTTTTTTGTTCAATGAGGGCCAATTCGGGGTTCAGCATCTTGCCCAAGGACACTTCGGCATGCAGATGGGGAAGATTGGGGATTGAACTGCCTTCTTTCTGGTTGAAGGAGGACCGCTCTACCCCTCAGCCACAGACGTCCATTGTAGTTGGCCACAAAGTTGTAGAACAGATTGCTGCTAGATACTGTATCAGAGATGCTAGTTCAGTAAACGTCGTTGAAAGAAAACTTAAACATTGCTCTTTACTTCAGCCATTAACTAGACCTTGCACTTGCCTGCACTACTGAGCTTTAATCATTATAATATGTTCTTGTGTGGCTTAAAATCTGTTGTTTTATATGAATTGTTTTTATTTTATTACAGTAACATGTTTTTATTTGTATCTATATTGTATGTAAAACACTTTGAGTTACATTTCTTAAATTTCTTTTAGCCAAGTCAAGTTTATCATATTTATTTTTATCTCTCAACCAAGTAATGTATATGGGGCAGGCAAGAAAATATTCAATAAAAATCTCAAATAAAAGTTTTGCTTTGTGGAGTTATTTTTAAGATCCTTTACATATCCTGAGGATACAACAAAAGCTGTAAATATGATATATGTATACAGAATATGTACATATGTATCTATAATTTCTAATAAGAGAGGGCCAGCAGTGCTAAATGATATGTCTACTGACAGTATGCACTATTATACTTATACTAATATATTCTAAGATTTGAAAAGAGGCTCATTGGGCGAAAATCCCATGTTGTTGCACTCTTGATACTGGAATATATAAGCTGATGAATGGCTTCCTGTCCAGTCGATGAGCCCAACAGGTGGTGTGAACAAGTATAACCTTGAGAACAATCTAGTCATCACTGTGACTATGAATATAAATCATTTTGCTTTCTGTGGAGGTGGCAGTGATGTGGCACCGCTGCTGCTGATTTCTTAGTTGTAGGGTCCCATTAAAACCAGAAGAGGGCATCATTCACCCTCAACCTATTGGGCCTTGTAGATGCATTTCAAAAAGCATCATGATAATAAAGCACGAAATATTAAAGAGAAAACCGTATTTATAGTAGAAAGAGAGTGTTAAATGGCACTTCAATTATTAAAGATATCTTTGGCTGCAATCATAAAGAAAGACTGCAACTTGGATTTAATGCAGACCAGCCATGACCCCAGAGTAATACTGTAAATCATGATTTACCAGAAGACTTTAACATTTATGAACCACTATATCCCATTTGGGAGTTTACATGAATGAAAAAAAGCATATAAGTTTGATATATATGATTCAATGTTGCAGTCAGGGGTCCTGTAAATAAATGGGCAGCTTGTATGACCAATAGTGACTTGGCAGCACGGTTATCCATTTTACTTCTGAGTAAAGATCAGGCACTGGGCTCCGGAGATTAGTTTGGGGAAAGGAGCTGGAGGAAGGGAGTCAGAGCTAAAAGTAATTACAGGGAAGAAGAGGTATAGTTGAGAGAAGGGGGGGGGGGGATTAAAGGTGTAATTAAGGAGTAAAAGTTTTAAGAGAGGTCAATGAAATAGCCCAGAAAACAAAAGGAGCAATAAATGAGCAAGGCAGAGACTGCTGAGGAGACAAAACGGAGTCAGGGAGGGAACAAATGAGGAAGAACAAATGGTTTAGATGGAGAGAAGGGAAAAGGAAGAGTGGGGAAGAGGAAGAGAGAAGATGGAGGGGAAAGGAAAAGAGTAATTAAGCACAGAAGACGACAGGTCCTGGAAGAGGAGTGGATGAAGAATGGATGATGATAAAGAGATTGGAACAGGGAGGGGTAGAGAACGAAGGCAGGGAGAGAAATCGAGGAGAGGATGAAGAGCAGATAATATAGGGGCAGAAACAGAGACGGGGGAGAACACAGAAGATGGAGGGAGGGGAGAGGAGAGTGTGGAGGATGTGGGGTGGTGATGAGTCATCACCAGGCTTTCAGCCCTGGTGGGCCGGGTTGCTGTGGGGGCGGCAGTGTGACACATGCAGAAAACCCATGCAGAGGGATGTTGGCTGTCATGCCGGGTGCATGTCTCCTCCTGCTGCGGGGGCAGGTAGGAGGCAATATAGGGATGCCACTGGGACACACACACACACACACACACACACACACACACACACACACACACACACACAATGATGATGGCCGAGAGTGAAGCCTCATTAAGACACTGAGGATGGATTGATGGTTATATCCAAAGGCAAAGAGACAATCGGTCAATACAGCTGGAAGAAGCCCCAGAGCCTGCATACACCTCGTGCCTTTGTGCATCTCTCACATACACTTTCCTGCATCATTCATTCTTTATTAGATGGTGCAAATGCAGGGGAGGAAGGGAAAACGCAGAGAGGAGAACATGGAAAAATCATTTCAAGCCATAACGTTGAATGTGCAGTGATAAAATATGCTCCTCTTACTGAGGCAGACTGAAAGCTTCCTGGTCAGTTTTCTTCAGCTTCTCTGCATTCAATGTGTTGCAGCTTTCAGTCATAGTGTCTATCCACATTGCAGTTTCTGAGTGTGTGTGTGTCATGCAAGACCAATTAACTCATCACAGGAAAACAGAAATTGTGGCTGCTGGGAACATACTGCATTTACTATTTGTGTTCCCTCACTCTTATTCTACATATGGAAGATGGGCCGCACACATTGCAATAGGTCCCTTCCACTGTGACATGCACGGCCTCATCTGTGTCTCTCTTTAGTGCTGAGTCGATGTCAGAGTTGCCATGCCAACAGATTAGGGGATTCCTAATTCTGATCAAGGCCACTGCATGTGCACATATGACACATGCATGAGCGCATGGGTAACTAAAACCAAACAAACACACATGCACACTTTCTAGTGAGTTAAAACTATTCAATCAATAGGTTGCACGTCATAGTCCCCTTTTCCCTGATTTAAAATCAATGGTTTTGTACTGTAACCCATTATCAACGATTGTCTGTGTGAATGAGAGATCAACCATTAATCAGGTACATGAACCTTCCCACCTATTTTAGCATCAAAGCAACATGATAACCATGCAAACTTGCCATCAGACACATGTGAAACACACACACACACACACACAAACAAAAAATACTCAGACCAACAGTGAAATTTGAAAACTTTCGTAGGAATCTGTATTTAATCTTTAAACTCTACATACATTCATACATCTCTCAAATAGAGGAGCAGACAGTACGTGTGAGTGTATAATCTGTATATTTGTATGTGTGTGTGTGTGTGTGCGTGTGAGGTGGGGGTGTTGCAGGTTAGAGTTTGGTGTTTCAGCTGCCTTCTTCACACCTGCATATTTATCATGTGCTTACAAAATGTGACAGAGAAACATAACGAGTGACAGCGAGACAACATGGGCAAGTCTGAATGCATAAATGTAGTTTCAACGAACAGTGTGTGTGTCCATGTGTCTATATAAGTATGTTCTTACTGTATACATCACCATTACGGGTTGCGCGAGTGTTTTCCCAGGAGAAAAGTAGAATTTTGAAATCCATTGTTCATATTTTAAATTACATCAGTGAATCTTAATGAAAATATACAGTATTTTTACTCTGATAATCTGCATAGGTCCTGATTATAAAATGTTGATAGAGAAATACCAAGTATTGCAGCCTCTTTTGAGTTGGTGGGTAGGTTTGTATATGTAAGTGCATCTATGATGCATGATTGTATATGTGTGTGTTCATATATTATTAATGCAAGCATGGGATTAAGTTGGTGAAGTATGAGTTGGTCTGTGTACATGAGTGCTTACATACATGTGACTCTGCGATGTGATGTCTGCATATGCAAATATATTTATTTGTGTGTGTGTGTGTGTGTGT